AAGGAGCAGGGAAGTACAGGACTCCAGTGCCCCAGTGTGGGAGAGGCATGTAGGGGAGGAGGTGCAGACAGGGGGGCCACGGAGCCACAGGTGGAACCCCAGAAGGCCACAGGCTGCTGCAGCCCACTGAGGTGAAGGAGGGCTGCTCATGGGGCCCACCCACCATTCCTGGTTGCCCATCTCTGCTGTGTATGATGGAAACCACTTCAAGCTGGTGGTTCAGGGGCACTCTTAGTTCCAGCTCACAGGTAGTTTCCCTCAGAGCCTCAGTCCTCCAGGGTTGCCCAACAGACTCCCCTCTTGTTGGTTTGGTTTTCTGGAGCAGCTCCTTTCAGCAGTAACTCCAATGGCAGTTCCTTGGGAGCACCACCCAACTGCTTCTGCCTCCTTTCCCTCCCTTCCCCAAGGATTACTTAATTAATTTCCATCTCTTTCCAGAGGTGCAGAGGTGGGCTAAACAGGCAACCCGGCCAGCTCCAGGCCTCTGGCTCCAGAGGAACGTCATCCCTTACTCCTCCACAAAAGACCACACTTGGAGAACCTTGGGATTATCCTAACACATCCCTGATTTGCACTGTACAACTGTATCCACACCTGAAGATTACAGAAAGAGAGATAATCTAATCAGTAGGAACTGTGTCCTGTGTTCATTGCTCACCCCAAACTCCCATTGATTTCACTGGATTACAAAAAGCAGGATTAATCTCTGGCAGGAGTAACATAGCAGGGCTGGAAGCTACCAAAACAAAATAAGCAATACAGGAGGCATCAGAAGGGCTGCGGCTCTGCGTAGCGTAGAGACATTGTGCCTGAATTATACATGCACACAGAGCAACAACCACCAGCACCAGCACCAGGAATATCACAGCGATGTAAAGTTTGATGTAGTCCTCTCCCTCTGCTTCCGTACTGCCATATAAAGGATATTGTTGGCTGCTCCTCGCTCCCGCAACGTCAGCCCCTTCCTTTCATGAGCTTCCACCACCACCCTCTCCTCCGGTGCCGTAGGAAGCTTATTTACACTCCGCTGTATCTGTTCTTTTTGTACATTCTGCCGACTGCACCAAATGTCTCATTCAGTCACGAATACCGGGCTGGCTGTGGCTTGCCAACCTTCTTTCTATGTGACAGGAGCCTTCTTCCGAGGAGTGGACTGGTAGGAGCTGAGCAAACAGCAGAGCACTTTTGGCACAAAAAAAACAAACCAGAGGGAAAAGAAACTTTGTCTCCAAACACAGCTTCAGCATATGCCGCCTGCCCAAGGCACAGGGGTAACCAATGGTCCTCTGAGAATAGTTTACAGGTAATATCAATTCCTGGCGCACTAATATATGCTGTGTACCAATGATAATAATATTGCTGTCTAGATGCCAATGACACTCCGCTGTATATGTCTCTTATCAGTCCCCGTCTCTTGGTAGTTTTGGGCCTGAGGGCAAATTGGCTCTAACTCTATCCAAATGAGATAGAATTTATGGCGTTTGGCTGTGGGAAAATGCTGAAGGAGACTATGAAGTGCTAGATGCCCCTCCCGTTAATGGGTTTGCCCCTCCCTTCTCTTTGGTTAATAAAATTCACAGATTTGTTTAAACAGCAGCGGCAGCTGGGACTGACCTTAGAGCTAGCAGTGTCAGTAAATCCAATCACTTCCCAGTGACTGTTGCAAATAAAGAGCAACAATTAGGCTGCAACATTTTTATTTTGCACAGGAATAGTTCAGTCCCCAGATTCATACTACAGCCGTTGGCATTCTGTTTCCTGCAGCTTCTATCTGCCTCCTCACACAATTAACACTCATCTACCCACAAGGGGTGTCATGATTTATGGACTCACAGTCTATCTCAAACAAGTGGTGTCTGTCAGAATAGCTACAATTACAAAGACTTCCACCGAGCTTGAGTGCCAGCTATGTCACTTTTTTTTACCATAGGACCCCCACTTTGTCTATAACTCTATACACATATACACACAGAGACATCTAGTGACAGGATCATATGCTGCAAGTAAATATATTGCATCCAGGAATATGTAGTGCAGCTACCAAATTCTGTCTTCCATACCTCAGCACTTCTCTGAAAAGGGCAGCAGAAACCTACTAGCTCAACCTAAAGTCTTCATTACCATGCTGAAGAGAAAAGGGAGGATGAGTGTTGTGGTTCATTTTTAGATCCCTGCAAATCTACAGATTTATATCTATAGATTTATATCTATCTACAGTAGTGCAAATCTACTTTATATCCTATGGATGCAGATATCCGTGGCTCGTATTTGCAGATAGATGTGGATCTAGTCATCCTTAATAGATAACACATCTCTCCTTCATGTGCTGGTCGTCTGAAGAATCACCAGACCTGTGGCTAGGAGAATGTCAAGTATCACATGTATATCATAACCGTGATACTTCTCTCACATATGTTGGTATAAAGCCAGGGTAACCCCTGTTAAGACAATGCAAAAGCAGCATAAGTGAGAGGAGAAACACAAACCCTTTTGTTTCTTTTGTCACAACCTCACTGGGCCAGATCTCCTGGGACTCATATAAACAATCAGCATCAAGCAGTCCCACATGATGTCTGTGGATTCCTTTATGAATATAGGAATCAGGATTGAACAAAAGGGCTGTGTCTATATTGGCAAGTATTTGCGCAAGAAGCACTGATTTTGTATATTACAACATCAGTATTCTTGCGCAAATACTTGCGGCCAGTGTAGACAAGCTTTTGTGCAAAATCTTGCCGCCTCTCTACACTGGCCTCAAGTATTTGCACAAGAACACTGATGTTGTAATGTACAAAATCAGTGCTTCTTGAGCAAATACTCTGATGCTCCCGCTCAGGGATAAGTCCTCCTGTACAAGTGTTCTTGCGCAAGAGGCCCAAGAGGGCCAGTGTAGACAGCCACATTAATTTCTTGCGCAAGAAAGCCCGATGGCTAAAATGGCCATTGGAGCTTCCTTGCGCAAGAGAGCGTCTACAATCTTTTGCGCAAAGTCACATGCCAGTACAGATGCTCTCTTGCGCAAATACTTTTAATGGAAAAACTCTTCCGTTAAAAGTATTTGTGCAAAATCATGCCAGTGTAGATGCAGCCAAGGTGTTTACAAATGGGTGAGAGCTCCCCCATTTCAGGTCCAAATGGATACGACTGTTCTCAAAACCTGAGATGGTTTCAATCTGGGGGTTGGTATTGCCGGGGCAAAGCAGAAAACACACATTTGGACCAGAAACTCTACGCTGTCCAGATGCAGGATTTTGCTTCAAGCACATCTCTAAGCGTCATTAATATGAACATATTTTGCTGCTCCATTTAAGGTTATGAAATGAGGACTGTTTATATGAAAAAAAAACCCAAAGGTTTTGTTTTTCCTACTCACTGCCCCCATAGTAATCATCAGGCTGACACTTCATTATTATTTTTTTTTACAAAAATCTAAAAGCTAGAGCACTGCAATATTGAATATTTACAAACACTAATGCATTTATTTCTGTCTATACTCAAGAAAAGCTCCCGTTGAAGCATCTGCACATTTTGTCTGGGTTAAGAATGCAGCGTCAGATGGGAAAACTATTCATTACGGCTTCAAACAATTAATATCACCCCCTACCCCTTTAAGGACACCACTGGAGTCCGATTTGGAATCTGCTTTCTGGACCATGAGTAACTTCCAAGAATTGCTGGGGAATTCATGATGCAACAATGAACTCTTAATTGCTTCCGACTTATGTTGACCCATCTTACGGGAAATACAATCGATTCCCTGTGGCAAGCCTTTAGGAATGAAGCAAATCATGGCCTTTTCTCACTTTAGCAATGCAAATCACTTTTAATCGGTGTTTAATTAGGATTTAAACAGTATGAACGTGTCCCTGTTGCAAGGCGGTAACTCTGCTTAAACTTCAATTACTCCTAAATTTAAAAATCAATTGCAAATAAAATGTCCTGCGGATGATGCTAACCAGATTAGAAAGGCCAGAATATGTTCAAACGGGAGGCTTGTCTTGTCAACACAATTGGCACAAATGGCTACTGTAATAAAAGGTAATTCTGTGGTAATGCAATATTAAGGACATTATCTAATCAAAAGCTGTTGCTACAAAGCCACCAACAAATCACAGTCTCAAAAGGCAGGTAGGTTTTGTGCCTTGTTTTGTTGCTTACAGAGGCAATGGCTCACTATTGATTTTTGGATTTGATCCTTGACAATTTGTAGGGTTGTTTTTTTTTAAATCCATCAATAAGAACATGTCAGAGCAACTGAAAAGTAACTGAATGTTTTCATGAGTCAGAGGATTGAACTGAGAAGCTAATTCGGTACAGGTTGAACCTCCAGGACTCCCTGGTCTGGCAATATCTGTGGTCCAGCA